GAAAGAGGAACCCCAAAGTGAGAAACAGATCAAAAAGAGTCCTTCACTAACCTCAGAAAAGAGGTTAAGTAGAGTGCCATCGAAATCACTGGACTTGAATAAAAATGAATATCTTTCTCTGGACAAAAGCAGCACTTCAGATTCTGTTGATGAAGGTAAAAATTCTTACAAATTTTAATAAAATTTCAGTTGTCTTTTAATGTTTGTCTTTTTATTAGGTGTGTACAGATTTAGAATTTATTTGCATTAGATACAGTCTCACTCTATAAAGAACCAAAAAAGAGTCAGGGGTAATAGAAAATAGAGGAAAGAGGCTACTAAATCTAACCCATCTCTACTTTCCAGAGTCTGGAATTTATAAACCTCCATCACATTTAGCTTTTTAAATCCTAAGCTTTAAGTCAGTGGAGATGGAGTAATAGCAATGGAAAAGCAGATCTTAATAAAGATCTACCTAGTGTTATAGACACTGTAATTGTACGACTTTCTTTTAACCACCAAAAGAAGAAAGCGATACAGAGAGGCACAAGTGGAGAATATAGTAAAAATTAAAAGCAGTTGCTTAAAGGAACCTATAGCAAATCATTTTCTCTCTACTTTCTCTAAGTTAGCACCAATAACCTGGGGCTTGTCATTCTTATTAAGCGGGCATTTTAAGGAATCTTTTTTTAACCGTAAGATTATTGATACTGAAGTCAGTGAAGCGGAGAGACATTGGGAAAGATCCAGGTTTCAAATTTCAGGAACGAGAACAATGTCAGTGGATTTTTGCTCTGACCTGCTTTCTTACCAGCAGTGCTCAGAATGTTAATGGGAACACTACAGTGGTTTGGATCTCTAGGACGTGATTGCATTTGTTAGTCTAGCTCCTATTCATGTTAGACCTGGTTTATGAACCCCTCAAGTCTTTTTCTATATTGAAAACCAAATCTATGAAAACCAAAACTAAATCCAAGTCACATCCAAATCAAATCCAAATTCAAAACCCAACCAGGACCTACGTCCATGAAAATCCATTCCAAATCAGGTGAGACTCCGACTTGAGAACACTGAAGTATCTTTAATGAAAACTAGATCCATGCTCTTAAAAACATAAATAAAAATCTACTAGTTCTTAAAAATCGTAGAATGCGTTAAGAAAACAGTTGTCGAGTTCTTTGGAAAAGATAGTCTAGAGGAAGTTTTTTTAAAAAGGTATGAACCCCATGAATGACTAGACTCTTAGTGTTCTTACCATTCGTGCTTTGGTAATGGGAACAGGCAGCAGGTGTGAAGTAGGTATCCCCTGCCTGGCTGAACCTCTGACTTTAGAAAGACCTCCTCTGGCACCCAGTGGCCAGATAGTAAGTGACACCAAAACAAGGATTCTTTTTCCCTCTTTCTCAACTGCTGTTTTATAGGAATAGTGCTTCAAAAGTAGTTTCTTTGTTGAGTTCCCATAAATTTAACATTGATGATAAGTTACGTAAGGGATAACATTAAAACTCATATATTCTGCGTCCATATCTATAAAGAAAGAAAGAATAACAGTGGAGTAATGCTCTATTGAATGTGAGCCCTGATCACATTTTGCTCCTTGCTGGAGCCCATTTAAATAAGACTGTGTGGCTTTACAGCAGTGAGACCTTCTGTGCAGCAGTCAGCCTTCTGTTTGTTCAGGTTTCCTTTAAGGTGTATGGGATGACATTTTTTTCCTTATTAGATTATCATTTGATAATAAATCAAGTACTTCTATTGCATTCCCTAAGCAAGTTCCAAAATCTAGGTCTTATCTATGTATTAAGTGGGCATTATAATAATTTTTTTGTTTTTAGTTTCTGAAGGTTATGAGGTTATAAAGACATTCGAAGTCAATGAACTGTAGAGACAATGGGAAAGGTCAAAAGAAGTAAACCATCCCAGGAAATTTGGAAATTTATGTGGGGATTTCGAGGGAGCTAGGTAGATGGCAGATTGCTTACTTTAAACCAAGCATCACTTTATTTAAAATGACAGTATTTTGATGTACTATTGTGAGCAGGTTGAGAAAATGAGAGGCTTTCATTTCTACCACCTATAAGCTATAATCTTTGGGAGGGAGGCACTGGACTTCTTTTTATGTTTTTTTTTTTTTTTCCAATTAGAGTTGACATTCACTATTATTTTATATTATTTTCAGGTGTACAGCATAGTGGTTAGACATTTATATAATTTACAAATCACCTCAATTAGTCTAGTCCTCACCTGGCACTGTACATAGTTATTACAATATTATTGACTGTATGCCCCATGCTGTACTTCACACCCCTGTGACTGTTTTGTAACTGTCAGTTTATACTTCTTAATCTCTTCATCGTTTTCACCCTGTCCCCAACTCTCCTTTCATCAGGCAATCATCAATTTGTTCTCTGTATCTATGAGTCTGTTTTTGTTTTGTTTATTTTGTTCTTTAGATTGTCATATAAGTGAAATCATTTGGTATTTGTCGTTCACTGTTTGACTTATTTCACTTAGCTAATGCTCTCTAGGTCCATCCATGTTGTTGCAAATGGTAAGATTTCATTTTTTATGGCCGAGTAATATTCCATTGTATATATGTACCACCTGTTCTTTATCCAACTGTCTGTTGATGGGCACTTAGGTTGCCTCCATATCTTGGCTATTGTAAATAGTGCTGCAGTGAACATAGGGGTGCATAGATGTTTTTGAATTGGCACTGGACTATATTAGTATGGAGACTCCCTCTAGACCCATGTAAACTTGAGAGGAATCAACAGAGTAGAGCATCGTGAAATACCTCATAGAGGGACCTGATATAACTTTGGGTAAAGCTAGAGAAAAAGCGATGAAATAGTCTAGCATGTCAGGGGAACAGCCCTGAGACTAACCCAGGTAACCCTGACACGGTTACCTGAGTCAGGTTTTTGAACAACACTCTCAAATTGAACTTGGTTTTTCAGTTGTAAAGAAAGCCCTCAATCTGAGTCAGGAAGACAGCAGGTCACCAGTTTTTAGAAAATGGAAGATAGAACAAACTGTGCTTTTCTTGCATACCTACATAGTACATTTTTCATGCACCCTCAAAACGCTGTCAACATATGGTTTCAGTTTTATTCATGTTTATGTCCTTTTCATATTTATCTATCTCACTTGTCCCACCATTTCCACTGGCCACTTTCAAACTGATATGTTTGAAATAGTATTTATTCTTTATTGGAAAAAGTGACCTGCTACTAGGTTGAGCAGTGTTCCTCTTTCCAGGTAAAATACCAGCTGCTAGCTTAATATGTTACAGCAATGCTACTGCTGATTCTAGGAGCTTTCAAGTACTGTGAATTTGATACATAAATAATCCCAGGTGGAAATACTTTATTTCATATCCTTACTTCTTCAGACGGATTTACATACAAAAGGTATTATTGTTAATTTCCTTTAGTGAAACCACAAACTCTATTTTTTATCAGTTATAATACAGAACAATTTAATAACGGAGTTTAAATGAAATATGACAATATTATATTGAAATAATCCACATGAGTGTGATTTGTTTCTTTCTTAAATGTGAACAAGAAATTTACTTTTGAAAAATTATAGTTCCAGGGCTCCTTAGAGCAGGGATTCCCCACCCCCGGACCGCAACCAGTCTGTAGCCTGTTAGGGACCGGGCCGCATAGCAGGAAGTGAGTGGCGGGTGAGTGAAGAAAGCTTCATCTGTATTTGCAGTGGTTCCCCAGTGCTAGCATCACTGCCTCAGATCATCAGGCATTAGATTCTCATAGGAGCACTGGTCCCTGGTGCCAAAAAGGTTGGGGACTGCTGCCTTAGAGAAATGGCTCTGCTTCTAGGGCTGGGGTGGGGAATATACAAAATGAGCCTGGAGCATCTCGTAGTGCCAGAAAATAAAGAAGTACTTAATATAATAGGGAGGCATGTCAAAAGGACACACGAGTCAACCTGAAGGAGATCCTAGTGGCCAAATTAAAAAGATTCGAACAACAAAATAAATACAATATTGGATTATATCCAGGAGAATATTCATGAGTCCATACTGATATAAAGGATTGAATAAATACATAAATGGAGGAGAAAACACAAATCTTTCTCACAGATTTCTAAATATATGGAGAGACTCTCCCTTCCAGGAAGTGGAGCTCAATTCTCCTCCCCTTGAGTGTGGGCTGAACTTAGTGACTCTTCTAACAAATAGAATATGGAAAGGTGAAAACAGTAACTCTGCAGTGGAGGGACCTGCCAGCCACCACCACCTTAACCAACTGAGGATCAGGGTTATAGTCATGTTCCTATGTGTGCTCCCTGAGCACAGTCAGAAGGGCACTTGACCTTTGTGGTGTTCTTCCCCAGAACCTGCAGCCCAGTCTAATCATGAAAAAAACTTCAGATGAACCCAAATTGAGGGACATTCTACAAAATATCTGACCAGTGCTGTTCAAATATGTTAAGGTCATTAAAAAAAAGAAAAAAAGAAAGAAGGAGGGACTGTCATAGATTGGAGGACTAATGAGATATAATAACTAAATGCAATGTGGTACTTTGGGTTGGATCCTTGTACAGAAAAGGACATTACTGGAAAAAATAGGAATAAAACCGAGTTTAGTTGATTGTACGTCTAAAATTATTCCAAAATAAAAAATTTAAAAATATGGTTGTAAATTCTAAGTTCTATAGATAAAAGTAGACCCTATGATAATTTAGTGCTTTCAACAGTCACTTATTCAATCAAAAATAGTTACTTAATACTTTTTGTGTGCCAAGCACATAATGTCCATTAATGTTTAAAATCAGCATGGTCCCTATTCACATGTGCAGGAAAGAGGCAATAAACAAGTCAATAAGCCAACAAAAATATAATTACAAGTCGGGATAAGTTCTGTGAAGGAAATGAGCAGGATCAATAGAATCACTGTACTCGTTTGCTTTCTTTGTGAGTATATGAATTATTTTTATAATGAATGTATATTACATCTCTGTCAGAAAAAGCTATCTCTCAAGCTTAATTGGGAAGTTGCCTCACAAAACCTTAGCAAATTGCCTAGTTTCAGTAATTTATTCCTATGCCAAAGGATGCCGGCATTATTTGAAATTGCAGTGAATAGCTTTTGCCTACATATAGTATTGCTGCAGGAAGAAGGTAAATCAATATCTACCTGATATCCCTAAGTTCTTTGCTTCTGTAGCAGAGACACAAATCATTGAATGTGGGAGAAAAAGCAATAATTGCAGTGAAAGCAGAGCTAGAAGAGTTTTTCTGATTTTTAGAATATCTTCTACTTGCCCAGACTGCTTCCTGTGGTGTAATATTGATGGATGCTCTACACAGATAATTCTTAGAGCTTGATTTCTGAAATATGGGTAGCTTTGGTCACAGTTTGCATGCTGTATTGATGGGGCATAACCCTTGAAATAATAAATAATCCGAATCCTGAAATCATTAAAATTTCATATTGCATTACTTTACTTTCTTTACTTTACCAGGCTCCTATCCTAGCTGTCTTTTTCTTTTTTTCTTTTTTCGATTCTTTTAAGGTAAAGTCTTGGCAATATAAAGTAGAGATTAGGTTTGTGTGCTCTTCTGGAGCTGGAGTGAATTCAAATTCCAGTTCAGTCACTCACTAGCCATGGAGCTTTGGCAATTCTCTCAGTGCCTCAGTTTGCTCACTGTGTAATGGAGATGATGGTGATGACACCATTTAACTCACAGGATTGCTGTGAGGATAAGATGAGTGAATACTTGTAAGGTGCTTAGCACAATGCATGCCATATAGTAAGCACCGTACAAGCCAGGGTTATTTTTACATAAGGTTTCCAGGGAATATGAGGGGAGCTGAGCAGATACTGCTTTTTCACTTGTTACCAATAGTTTTCAATGTCATTAACAGTTTCCCAGAAAAATGTAATATTTCATTGGGCATTATTTAGCTTTGAAGCATACTTTTCAGAAGGATTTCTTACTTTTAATGTGTGGTAGTAAGAATAGGTTGTAAATACAATGATACTTAACTCGGAGGCAGTTAGCTTTAAGTCAAGTTTGAAAGATTATTCAGGGTAGCATGTTAGTGAGTGCAACAGATATTTAGATCCAGTCTTGACAATATTTACTAGAAGTATGGGCATTCAGAAATATGAGCTGCTAATGGCTGTGGTAGATACTACTCTGTGAATCTCTGTCTTGCCCTTGTCACTTTTGAAATATCCTTTTGAACAATATATTATGGGAGTTTGATATCATTCAAGTTAAATACTTCTTTATCTTTTGGGTGTTGACAACTGAAATATTGATCATATATAGTTTAATTAACTATATATTCTTATGTATAGTTATAACATTGTACATATGTATATAACACCGATTTAGAGTTTTAATTGTGACCTGAAATGTGCTGATCACTAATCACATTTAAAAACCGAAAACAAGCAAACAAAACCTCGAAATGACTTTTCCTTGACTTCTTCTTTTTTGGTTCTGTTTTTTTTTTGTTTGTTTGTTTCCCCAGAAAATATTCCTGAGAAAGATCTTCATGGAAGACTTTATATCAACCGTGTTTTTCACATCAGTGCTGAGAAAATGTTTGAATTGCTCTTCACCAGTTCACGCTTCATGCAGAGATTTGCCAATTCTAGAAATATAATAGGTTGGTTCCTGTGTTCTTATCTAATGATAAATTTGGGAAGATTTTATTATCTTTAGAGTGTTAAGCCTACATAAATTGATTTATGTTGTCGGGGGATTTGATTTTATTTTGGTGATGTATAAACTAGTTTTTAAGTTGGTTAAATTTACATGTAAACAGTATACTTGTTCAGTTAGTCAGATCCTACCTACAATAAAGTTCAGACTCTTTGAAAACTAAAACTCCATTTATTTATTAATGTAGCAGTTCACTTGGATTGGACCCCATTTTAAAGATTTCCGTTGTGGAACAACTGATGCCAGTAGAGTGTAAATTGGTACAATCACTTTGCAGTATGCTTTGGCAGAAGCTACTAAAGCTGATCATATGCATTCTCTCTGATACTGCAATTCTCTACTAAGTGTATGTCCTTCAGAAATGGTACATGTGTACTCTGAATGGCATGTGCTGTTATTTATAGCAGCACTATTAATATATCCACCAGTAATAGACTGGATAAACAAATTGTGTATGGTCATGCAAAAGAATATTATATAGCAATCAAAACAAACTGCTACTACTTATAACAATCTGAGTAAATTTCACAAATATGACGTTAAGCAAAAGAAGCCAGACAGAAAAGATTTCTTTATATAAATGAGAACCAGGCAAAACTAATGTATGGCTATAAAATCAGCATAGTAGTTATGATTGTGGAGAGTTGGGTTGTTAAAGGCTGGGAAAGAGCTTCTGGGATGCTGATAAAGTTCTCTACTTTGATCTGAGTAGTGGTACACGTGTGTGTTTTCTTTGTGAAAATTCACAGAGTTGTACATTTGAGATTGCATTGTCTATGGCATACTTCAATGAAAATACCAAAAAAAATTCCAGTGAGGGAATGCATTGTAAAAAGAATTTCATCGATTATGTTTTATAAGTTCTATTTTGGTAAACATCTAAAATAAGCTTATGGTTAGTTTGAAACCGAATTTATCCTAAATAATTCAAGATATTCTATAAATGTTTGGAGCACATGGTTTAACTTGCTATATAAAATTAGAAAATAGTAGCAGTAGAGATTCATATAAGGTGAATCATTTGACCTAGTCAAAGAGAAAGTTATTCTACAATTTAAATACAGTTTATAATCTAGTCATTTTATTAACCATTAGATGTTATTCCTTTATTTGAAACTTTTATGTAACCATAATCACTTATTCATAGGTTATATAATCATTGACATGAGTTTTAGGTATAAAATATGATTTTTTTCTTATTTTTCATAATAGGGTAGCAAAGAGATTTCAAATTGATAGCTATTGAGTCCTGTGACTATATTAAGAATTTCATAGTTTTAAAAAATCATTTATTTATTTTTTCTTCTTCCAGTTTTAAAAATGTTGAATATCCGAAGGATATAAATTTTCCTCTTCACTCAGTAGCTTCTCTTTAACTTATATCTGTTCTCAATCTATTGTATATTTTCTTGCTATTCATGTCTGGCTGTAGAACTTGGTATTTCAGAAGAGTTGGATATATTATTTCTCTTAATATTCTAAAACGATGCCTGTTGATATTGCTGAAAAAGGCCCATGAGGCACTAGCATGTTACTCCACAGTGGTACTAAATGAAGTTTTTTGAATCGCAGCTGCATTTAGTGTCTGATGTCATATCTGGCTTCAGTATGGATGAATATATTTGCTATCTGATCTAATAAGTGGCTTCAGGAAGCAAAGGCTTCTGGCTAATTCTAAATCTAAACAATTATGGGCATATTGCTGTTTAGACCTAGAATTAGAAGTTTTTCTCCAAAAGAGGTAATTTGCTCATGATTATACAACATCGTGCTATCTACTAAACTTGTTACCTGGTAATCCAAGTTGTATTTCTTGAGAATGGGTTTCAAAGGCTTCTTTTTAAAAATATTATGAATTTAATGAAAAATGTTTCTATAGTCCATTATTTGTGGATTTAATCTAATTTCAGCACTAAAATGGCTACTTACTCAATCTATTTTTTTTAATTAGGGAGCTTTTAAATAGGGATTCCTTTAAGTCTTGTTTATGACACTACTTTTATGTTTATGACACTACACTATATAGTTATGACACTACTTTTATAATTTAGAGCTCAGTTTTCAGTCTTTTTATTCAACTTTTTTTAACATTGAAAAATGTAAACCTTCAAAGGTTGCATGAATACTATAGTAAAACCCACATATTTATCACCTAGATACATCTTTTTTTAAAATTCTAAACTGTTCATAAAATAGTAAAATTTACCATTTTAAGCACTTTTAAGTGTACAGTTCCAGTAGTATTAAGGGTAGTCGCATTGTTGTGTGACCATCACCACTATCCTGCTCCAGAACTTTTCTCATCTTCCCAAACTGAAACTCTCTATTAAATAATAACTCCTCATTTTTCCCTCCTCCCGATGACCACCATTCTACTTTGTCTCTGTGAATTTTACTACCCCTCAGTACCTCCGATAAGTGGAATCATACAATATTTGTCCCTTCATGACTGTCATTTCACTTAGCATAATGTCTCCAAGGTTTATCCAAGGTTTTCCTTCCTTTTTAAAGCTAAATAATCCATTGTATGTATATACCACATTTTGTTTATCCATTCATATAGGCATGGAGTTCTGAGTTGCTTCCACTTTTTGGTTTTTGTGAATATTGCTGCTCTGAACACTGATGTACAAACATCTGTTTGAGTCCCTGCTTTCAGTTGGGTATATACCTAAAAGTGGAATTGCTGAATCGTAAAGTAATTCTGTGTTTAATTTTTTGAGGAAATGCCATACTGTTTTCCACAGTGGCGGTATCATTTAACATCCCCACCAGAATACATAAAGGTTCCAATTTCTCCACTTTTACACCAACACTTGTTATTTTCAGTTGTATGTGTGTGTGATAATAGCCATCTTAATGGTTGTGAAGATTCACTAATTTTAAAACTTTATTACACTAAAAGATTCTTAAAGTATTCTGTTTCCTACTTTTTATTACTTCAACTCAGTATATCAAAATGGCTTAGGGTTTTTTTTTTTTTTTGTATACTGCTGCCATTTTTTCTTATAATTTTATCCCCAGTATTTTTACATCATGCTGAACTTTACTTAGGTATTGGTTACTTGCCTATTCCAAGGTGTTACTTAGATGATGTTCTGGCACATGATATTCAGTAGGCTTGTTGGTAACATTGGTGAAAATACAACTGGAAGACAGATACTTTTCTATTATCCTGGTTGATGGTAACTTTGAATAGTGTGCAGTTTCAACAGCAGAATTCAATGATATCTTTAAATTCTATTGCTGATTCACAATGGATTATTTGTATAATTTTTCTGAAACAGGCTGACATATGACCAAAATAATCTTTTAAAAGTATTTTAGAATTTTTTTCTCTTCCTTCACGTACACCTAAGTATTTTTTACAGCAAAATCTGGATGATAGAGTCCATGGTTTGTGATTTTTGTTTTTAAACTTGTTTGTAATGTTTTTCCAGATACCAACAGACAGACAGCTTCAGGATCTCTTATTAAATCTCTAAGCCTAGCTGTCAGAAAGAAATTGAGTAAAATTGGATAGGTCATAAAGCCTGGCTTCATTCCTTTAATGATGGGTAATGGGTTAGATAAGGCTCCTTTATTTTAGGATGTTAATGAATAACAGTCAGACATACTAATTGCCTAAGTCCATTTGTGCTAACAGCATTAGGTGATTTAGATCTTTGAATAGAGTTCATGATGCTTTTACCTTTGATGTATAGTGCTATCCCCTAAAGACATATTTCTGTTCAAAGTGTGTTTTTACACATTGTGTTGTTGCTAAGCAAATAAAAGAGAATTTGACCAAGTTCTTGTCATAAATAGAGAGATTATCCTACAGCTTTCTTAATATAGAAAAGGTTATGTAGTTATTTATATTCCATTCCCCATCCTTTATTAAAAATTTTGGCACCTGAGACTAGAGTCACATCCTGGCAGCTCTTGTCCTGGTGTGCTAGAGTTCTTGGAGATAATCTGCTGGTCTTGATTCACTGGCGAAGGCAATCAGATCAGAAACATTCCCTTCTCAGCTCCTAGGTGGAGTGGGTTGGCAGGCATCTTTCCTCATACTCATCAAGGAGTTGGCCTCTGCCATGCTGTATTATAAACCCTTTTCTCTGCCCTAGGGAAAAACAAATTCAGCAGATAAGCTATTAACATTACATGATTTCTCACTACATGATTCCCTTCTGACGTGATTTCTCCACAAGTTGGAGTCATGGTCATATTGTTGCATAATGACAACTGTCTTTCAAGGTTTTGTCCTCAATGATGAAAATGTTGAAGTGTTGTTCTGTCTCTGTATAATAAGGCTGATGCCATTATTTCTCTTCTCGAGATTTTAAAAAGAAGGCTATGGATGAACCAACTTTTAATATTGTCTTCTAAAAAAAAAAAAAGAAAAAAGTATATTAATAGATAACAATTTCGAAGTCAATAGATCAGAGATGGGGGATATGCCTAACATTTAATTTTACTTTTGGACTGGTTGAAAATAAAAATTTAGATAATTCAAAAACTACCTCTTTTGATTCCATTTCAAGTCATACCCTTCAGAATTCCAGAACTAACTCATTTTATGTTTGCTGTGATTAGATGTAGTATCTACCCCTTGGAACGTGGAACCTGGAGGTGATCAACTGAGAACGATGACCTACACTATAATCCTTAATAATCCACTTACTGGAAAATGCACTGCTGCCACTGAAAAACAGGTATGTGTACTCTGTCAATATTTCAAAAGAATCATTCATATAGAAAGAGAGAAGATGCCTGTTATAGTCATCAGTTTACAAAACAATATCCACAAATAAATGGCAAGGAAAAAAGGGAGGAGAAACTGTTACAGGTTAAAAGAGACCTAAGAGGTATTTGAACCATATCAATCCAACCTTAATTCAAACTAACCGTAAAAAGGTATTATGAGATTTAAGGAATTGTTAATTTTTTTATGTATGATGGTATGTAGCTATATTTTAAAGAAAGGAATATTTACCTTTTAAGGAGATACAGTGAAGAATTTATAAAGAGGCATCTACTGATGTATTTATGGATGAAATTATATTTATGTCTGGGATATCCTTTAAAAGAAATCTAGCCAGTCCGAGAATGAAGGGGAGAGAGGGGATGTGGGAATACAGTACAGATGAAACAGGGTTGGGCAGGAGTAGATGTTATTGAAACTGGCTGATGAGCTTATGGGGTTCATTGTACTTTATTTCATTTGTACTTTGAACTTTTCTATAATAAATAGTTTAAAAAAGAATAGTACTGGAATCTGATTTACAGGATCATGGCAAATAACTAGATGGCTGCTGCGACTTATGGGGAAGAGATTATATTTAATGCTCTACTATGTCACCAGCATGGCACTGTCTTATAATGGAGTTTGTGTGTGGCCAATTTGTGTTGAAGTGTAGTGTATCTGTTCTGCAAACAGTTTGAAAAGATCTGTTAATATCTGAATTAATTATGTTATTATAGTTTCTGTCCATCAGTGTTAAAAAGGACTTAAACTTTTTAAAAATGATTCTTAGACATTATAGGAAAGTTCGGTATTTTGATATTGGAGAGTCTTTGATAACTGTAAAGGATAGGTAGAAAAGGTAAGATTATAGTGAGAAAGATTTGGTCAGCAACTTCTTCAAGTCCTGTTTAGGGAAAGCAATACCTTGTTTGGAGCCCCCTTCCTTCACTTTTTGGTGAAGGGTGGTTTGGTTTAACTTTGATGAATTTTTGGGGGTGAGGTCCTTACTTTGTTTAATTGATTTTGAATTGTTCCCTTAACAGGCAAATTTAAAATTCTTTATACACTGATAATACACACAAGAGATTATATGGTTCCTTTCTTATCCTCATGCCTAAAAAGAAGAAAAAAATAATTATACAGTCAAATGACAGAAATGCAGCAAATACTATTTCTGCAAGACCCTTCTCAATTCATAGATAGCTCAGCCAAAACAGAGGAGCTCTGCAGGCTTTGTATATCAGTTTCTTATGTCCTTTGTTATTTGTAAGAAGGAATTCTAGTATATGTGTTTTAAATTGGCAAGGAATTTAATATATGAAACATGTGCATGCAAAAATTTTTTTTATCTTATTTTGACAGACACTATATAAAGAAAGTCGGGAAGCACAATTTTATTTGGTAGATTCAGAAGTGCTGACACATGATGTCCCTTACCATGATTATTTCTATACCCTGAACAGATACTATATCATCCCATCTTCAAAACAGAAATGCCGGCTGAGGTGAGCTACTGTAAATGAGTGTTTTAGTCAGGATAGGCTAGATTATGCTCTGGTAATGTAGTAATCCTAAAATCTCAGTGGTAGCTTTATACAACAAAACTTTATTTTTTTCCCAAATTACATGTCCACCAGCGGTCAGGAAAGGGGTGGGGCTCCTCACTCAAGGCCCAGTTTGATGAAGGATTTTACATCCTGAAGCTGCACAATACAGAACATGTGTCGTTTCTGTTGCTATAGGAAGAGAAAGCTGTAGAATTGGGCTCACAGTCCAGTGGCCAGAACTAGTCTTGTGACCCTGTTTAATGGCAAGGGAGCTGGGAGTTCTTGAGGAGCATGTGGTGAGCAATAAATGACTGTTGCAATGAGAATTAAGACATATTGGTGCATGAAAGGTAGTAATGGGCCATCATATGCTTGGCTTGGTCTTAGCTAATATAGTTATTTTCAACTAATTTATGACCCTGGAAATTTTTTACCCAAGGCATTTAGAAAATTTAGAATTTATTTTGAGCCTTTCCTGCTATTTAAGTAAAGAAAATTCAGGACAATAGAAAGGAAAGAAATAAAATGCCACGTATGTAGAAGAAAAATTTGATGAAATTATTGGTGGCACATAGTAATTTTTGAAAGAGTCATTGTCAGTGAACAAATTTTATAATCTTAATGACCTTAAATCCTTTTGGCTCTCCACTGAATACAATCTTACATTAAATTGCAAGGTTAATATAACTTGATTTTGTTCTTTAAATATTCTCCTTATCTTATTAGAGTTTCCACAGATTTGAAATACAGAAAACAGCCATGGGCCATTGTCAAATCTTTAATTGAGAAGAATTCCTGGAGTTCATTGGAAGGCTATTTTAAACAGCTTGGTTTGTAAATTTCTTGATTTATATACTTCTGTAAAGATAGCATTTATTAACAAAGTGGACCGATTCTATATTTGGATTCATAGCGGAAACTGGTAGACGTTGGATGGCTCCTACTGAAGTGGTTCCAGCTACCCGCTTGGAATTTCAAACTTAATTTTCATTGGTCTGACAAACACTTGTATAACACTTACTATATGTGTTGTTTTGTGCATTTATAAATATCAAAACTCATTACAACTCTGTGAGGTAGGTGCTATTGTTTTTTTCCATTTTACTAAAGAAGAAATATTGAAATACAGAGAAAGAGGTTAAAAGATGTATCTGAGATCACGTAGTTAGGAGATGTTACACTCTCTGCCTCTGCAGAGAGTCAAAAAAGTCGACTGCAGCGAGGGACCACATAACTTGATCATAAATACGGACTTGTGTTCACTGATGTCTGGAGAGTCCTTGGGCCTACACCTTCCTTATCAGTGCAGCTTCCTGGGTTTCTACAGACCACTTAGCAATGGTGCCATGTATGTGTATGGATTGGGGAGGTGGGCACTAGACTGGGGGAAGTAATATAGTTGTTCTGTTTGGATATTCCTTAAAATATACATGAGAAAAAAAAATATATATATACATACATGAGCATAATTAATTTTAAAGAAAAGCTGGTGGCCAGTTAACTCAGGGTAATTTCTCTGTCATCTAGTTTGTTGATTATTTTATTTACTTGATTTTCTCTCTTTAGTTATTTCATCATTAAACTCCTAATCAGGAGCAAAGAAAGTGAAACTTAACAACTAGTTTGGCCACTGGCTAATGAGCTTCTAATAAAAAGATCCGGTGAAGGAAAAGTTTGAACCAAATGACAAAAATAAGGTTTTTAGGGTGTTTGCAGATTTTCTTTATTACGCTTCCTTTTATGCAAACCCTCATTGTAAATTAGAACTATTATATGCTATTCCTTCCTTTGAAATTGACAGTAGAGTACTACAATCTGTCTTGGAAACCTTTCTAATGATTCAGTATAAGTGGGTAGCCTGTTTCTATAACTGAAATCATTATATTAATATTTAATATAGCACATGGCAAATTTGCTCTGATGATCCCATCATTTATTAATACAGTATATTCTTCCTAGAATAACGAAGCCTCATTATGGGATCACTGTACTCTCCAAAACTTTTCATTAAGAGTAAGGTTTGAATCTAGGCCATAAGAAACCTAAGTAGTTGTTAAAGTTACCAAGGCTTAAAAAAACAAACTAAAAACAAAACCACCACTAAACCCCCTTTATCTTATAGTTGAGACGGTTTCTCTACTATCTAAAGATTTTTTTTTTCCTTCTTAGAATCAGATTTGTTAGTGGAAGAATCTGTGTTAAGCCAGTCCATTGAAGACCCTGGAAAACTTAGTGGCCTACGAAGGAGAAGGCGAACATTCAACCGAAATGCAGAAACAGTTCCTAAACTTTCTTCTCAGCATTCTTCTGGAGACGGGGGCTTGGACGTCAAAGGGGATATTACAGGTAGCTGTTACTGGGTAAACAGAGATGAAAGAGTTTAGTTTACTTATATGAAGCAGAATATGGTATGCCTCTTGTGCAGTTGCAAAAGGGCAGGTATCTGGCCAATAGAAGTATTTTATTGGATGCACATGGTATTTTTAAAATTGGACATTTTTGTATAAAAACTCAGATCTGATATCCCTGGACCCAAATCCCTTCATAGCAACATTCAGTTGGCATTTAATGGTAGCTGCCCCATTAGACCAAGTGTGCACTCCCCAGAGCACTAGTCCCCACCATTTTCCCTGGCTGTTGGATACTTCGCTCATTAATTTCCTGCCCAGCATTGACAGACATTTGATTTTTATCCTTGAATGTACTACAATGATTATATGTTTTTAATCCTTATGTACTGTCAGGGCCAGCCCAGCAAAACTCTCAATTTTGAAGACATCTTGCCTCTACTAATTGTTATTACCTCCATCTCAGAACTATAAAGCTGTGTGGTATCTTCTCATCTTTCTACATAAACCTAGCTCAAATACAAGATTTGCAGAGATGGAACTTAGCTAGAGATCGCGCATGATGTATTGAATTGCTTACTTAATTTTGGAGTAAATTAATTTGTAATAGAGGCCAAATTTGAAAGACTGATGTAGTTTTTCTTTTTGTATATTTGTTTCCTATTACTCAGGATATCAGGCACCAAAAAAGGGTACCGGAAATTAACCCTAAATCATTTTGTCTTTACAAATAATTTTTAAAATTTCTTCTCCAGTTTTTTTTCAAATGAAATTAAAATTTTACTGGCTGTAATCACAATCCTAATTCTAATGCAGCCTTTTTGTGTGTGTGTGATACATAGGAAAGAAAAAGGAAATGGAAAGCTACAACACCGCCCTCATTGTGGTAATGAGTATTTTGTAAGTATTTGTTTTGAATGCTTATTTGGCTTGTGTTTTCACTTTTAACAGTTTCCAAAATGATTTGAATGGATTTGTATATTATCGTGCGGAAATTTCCACCATTTGGCCTACAAAAACAATGATTTTATATGCTTCAGTTGATAGTTTTTGATGTATGATTTTCAGAAGAATTATTAAATTTGAGGAAATACCAAGTACACATTCATTAAATGTTCTTATTTTCTAAATTAATCTGATTTATTTCTATTATCTAGGTTTTTAATGGGAAGTTCCATAAATTTAAAGGGAATATTTATACATGCAGGCTGATGAAATCCCAAAAATGCTACTCTATTTGATTAGACCTGTGGTCTTTCCCTTTACTGTGCATAGGAAATCGCTTGCTAAAAATGCATATTTCTTGATCCCAATTCCAGAGATTGAGTCGTTAGGTCTTGAGTAGGAATCAGAAATTAGTATTTTAAAACACACTGACTGCACAGGTTATTCTGATGCAAGTGATCATGTGGAGAGAAATACTGGGGCAATTAGTTTGAATCTCAGAATATCCTATAGGAATCCGCTCAGCCAGTCATGTTTAGGCTACTATTATCTACTGTATGTGAGTCTTGAGATAGTCCATTAGGTTCTGTTGAATTGGTTCTGACTGGGTGATACACTCTGGGTGATTATTTTTTTGGAATGAAGTTCTTATATCTGCTGTTTTTCTAATTATAGATTTCAGAACATAGAAAATGTTTGTTGTGTCTTTGAGTTTCATAAAAAGCTTTTTATATTCTGCTTAAGTCAGTTCACTATGACAGTTTTGAATAGTAAATATCAGTGTTCTTTTGTATTTATAGGAAATTTATATCAAATGGTAAAATGTTCATCTACATACTGTTTCTTTGCCATATAATTTCATAGATTTTATTTTCTTGCTACTAGCTTAGTTTTCATTTAAAAAAAAATCTTTGGGATGGGTAAAGGTGAATACTATATATTTTTAAGGGCAAGTCAGTATTTTAACAGAAAATGTGATATGGTGCCACCTATCTATTTGCCATATATGTGTAATAAGAAATATACCCACTGCTGTGAGAACCGACAGTAAGTTCATTTAGCATGTAACATTTTGTATATGACACCATTAATGTATATTTAGATTTGATACTTCATCTAAGGTGAACTAGAAGAAATTTATGCTGAATGGTAATTTTTAAAAATTTCTTTTGGTGTCCACTGGGAATAACAGGTACATCACGATCTGCCTAATATCAAGTCCGTATTGATCTTCATTTCCTGTTTGTGGTGCAGCATTATGGGTTTATGATTGCTTAAGCCAGAAGTGCCCAAAAACAGGTCTTGAAAGTGTACCTGGTAGATTTCTGGGCTGAGTGGCACACATAACGTTGGCTGGGATTCCAGGCAAAGAGGAGAAATGCCAGGGACAGTCCTAACCTGCTTTATTTGAGGACTTTATTTTCACTTTAGTTACCTTCTAACTTTATTTGAGGACTTTATTGTATTTTCTTTCATACAATAGGGATAATTGATTTAAGTAACAATAATTAGAAACTAGTCTAGATAATATAGACTAGTTTTTGAAGGTTTTGCATGTGTATTCTGCAATAGTGCTCTAGGTCTGGATAAGAGTGGATTAACCAGCTATGATTTGCTCTGCCTAGTTTGCTTTTGCTAGTTTTGTTGAATGTGACACTGTTTCTGAAGCTGTCGAAGATAGAATATGCTGCTCAGTTGTTTTACCATCTCCACCTCCAAGAAGAGAAATCTTTAAAGTAAGTCTTTTCTTCCCCTCCGACCTGTTATTGTTCAATAATTCCTTAGTTGCAGAAAACTTAATCCTAGTTTTAAAGATTTTGATCTCCTAACTATTCTATAATCATACTATTTTTATTTTGTTTGCAAATTTATGGAGCACTGGTGATTTCTAGAAATGAAAGGTTAGCAGCTATTCCCTGATTTTTAAGATGGTATTTTTCTTCCAGTTTAGCCTCTGATATGGTGTCAAGAGCAGAAAATCGTCAAAAGAAGAAAGATCAGGCCCATCGTTTAAAAGGAGTGCTCCGAGACTCCATCGTGATGCTTGAAGAGGTAGGCAACTCTGTACCGCAGTACTTAGGACTCTCCTTCCGGTCGGAATCAAGTGCTCCTCTGGTTGTTAAGAGAATATTTCCTATACTGTTATTTACCTCCTAGAGGCAACTGCCCTTGCCAGTTTCTGTATTATACATATTATATGTATGTCACTTGTACTTATTTTTATTACAAAACGGGAGCATACTACACACACCATTGCATATCCTCTTTTTTCAATTAGTAATATGTTTTGAAGATATTCTCATTATCAGCATATAGATATCTACCTTATTCTTTTTATTGATCATTCTATATAAAATTTTATGCCTAACATTAACTTTTTATAGAAATGGGAGATATTCTGTACACAGTTCATTATTTTGCTTTTATTAATCACGTCTTGCAGATACTTTCATATCAGATTAAGTGCCTCTTCTTTTAACAGCTGCGTAGAATTCCACAGCATAAACATGCCCTAATTATGTTACCAGTTCTTTACTAAAGAATGAACATTTAGGTTATTTCAGTGTTTTGCTATAAACAGTGTCTCTTGAACATAGTATCATCAGTATGTGCTGCTTAGTTCCATGAACCAAAACTTAAGGTTCCCTTTGAAAAATAAAGATTACTATTTCCATTATAATATAATACATACTTACTTTTAATGTTTTAATGTAAAATTGAAAAAGAAAATAAAAGAAAACCCATAGTTCTAACATTCAGACATATTCACTGTTAATATTTTTTTTCCTTTCATCCTAAATTTTTTCTTTTTAGAAGATTCAATTTTTGCGCATTTCTTAGGATAACATGTGGGGCAGTGAAGATTACAGCTTCAACTAGGCACACTTCAGATGCTCAGCATCTACAGTTCTTAGTAACTTTCTGCTTCCACCCCCAGTAAAGAGTAGATCATATTCTCACTTTTCTCCTTATCCTCCCGTTTCCTCTCACTCTCAACTGATGACTATGCCTCAAGGAAAAAAAGAGACTTACCCTCTCCTTCTATAAGCAAATCTACAGACCTTCCTATTATTGCATCCCCGTCTTTTACACTCCTATTAGATACATTCCTCTGCCTATGGGAGGCCAGTTCCCACACGTGTTAGCAGGAGACCCCATGCATCTCCCTCTAACTTCTCCATTCTGTCTTTCTCATTCAGCTTCAGCTTTACCATCAGCACATGACTCTGCTTTATTATCTGCTACATTAAAAAACCTACACCACCCACATTTTTATCTACTCATCATCTCTCTATTCCCTTCCACAGTCAAGCTCGCTCAGAGTTGCTTACTCTTGTTGTCGCTACTTTATCCTTCATAACCCATTTATTTTTTAAATTTATTTTCTCCAAAATCACTTGTTCACATAGTTAATTGTTCTACATGGATTGTTGAGAAAAGTAGTAATCCCAGCACCCTCTTCTCCATTT